AGCAGATAGCTAAACATGTTTGATTTTGCAAATCTTTTTATGCCGAAAGCCCAGTTAGACACTTTGCTGTTAGGCCACTACACTATGAGATAGATAAATAACTGCATAGTTGAAATGAATGAAAAGCATTTCAACTATGTATTCAGCCAGTAAAATGACTGGCTTATATGTGTTGCACATTGGCTGCTGTAAAGCAAATGATTGCTTTAGAAAACCATTTTTCATATAATGAAATTCTCACATGGATTCAAGTAATTGCTATGACACTTAAATTATTACTTGAGTGTCATAGCTCTGCTTTGTAATTGCTCATACTGTTATTGCTTTTTAAAGCTACTTAATGCCACAACTCGAGGTTTAACTAGTTTCAGTTCTTTATTTAGATAGATGGCTCTTGTCGGGCAGGCCCTGTTCCTAAGTCATAAAGCCACAGCAGACATTAACGGATGAGCTTAATCTCATTAAAATTAAATGCTAGAATTTTCTTTTGTTAAATAAATATTAAAAATTTGGGGCCATGAATCTTTTTTGCTTAAAAAAGAAGTTTAAGTGAAGAGCTAATACTGCCTGTGTCATTGTTTAGGGCAGTAATAGAGGCCTTTGTGGCATGCTGATCTCTGTCTGTAGCTTCCCAGACTGCTGCCCCAGAAAGAAGATCAGTCAGCACACAGCTGTCAATGAAAACCCGGCAGATTTCCCTCCGCAGTACAGGTCTGTGGCCCTTCAGATGATCAAGTCATACAAAAAAAAAAATCCTTTTTTGCTTCCACTATAATGCATATATGTGGAGGATCCTGTCAGGGTTACTTGTTCCTTGTATTTGCACTTAAGCTACACAGGCACAAGTTCCCAGCACAGATTGTTGGTGTTTGCACCGTCACCTTTCCCTTGGACAGCCCCATGGTGTTCCTACAACCAACATTAGTAAAGCGATCATCTAAGAGTCCTCGACTCAGCCTCGAGGAGGACCCTTAAAAATGCACCTTCGTCGAAGGCGGTTTGTAAAGAAGAAGAAGATTTAGCGTGATTGAGGACGGCATTTTCATAGAGGGGAGTTAATGAATAACACACCAACACTATGTACTACAAAATCAATTCTCAAGTGAAAGGCAAGAAATTGGCCCTCACTTATGAATAATGTGCACAGAAATGATCTTTTCTGTGGATAACTCTAGCATTCAGCTGCTGCGTCAAGATGTTAACAGTTGACACTTATAATGGTTTTCTACTACAAAAAGCAGTGTATGTTTTCATATCCTACAATCACCAGAAAAGAGAAAGTATTCTTAAAGCACAGAGTGTCGTGAAGCAGGGCGTGAGCCACTCACAAACCGTTAACAATGTAAAACTCCAATTAACTGTAATTGAGGCAGCTAAATCTCTGTCTCTTCAATACATCAAAGAAGGGGTGTTTCTGCACCACATGTTTAATGAGGTTTTAAGTCGTCTTTCACACATTATTCTATGGTGTCTTTGTGACTGCAATGTTTCACTTCTACAAAACGCCTCATTTTAACGTTTACAAAACCACTAAGAGAAACTAACCAATGCCTAGTCAAAGGAGCTTGCAAAGAAAAGCGTCTGGACTTCTTTAAGTTGCTTGAAGACGTTTCACCTCTCATCCGAGAAGCTTCTTCAGTTCTAACCAATGCCTACTCTCAAAATCCTGAAAAACTGAGGTAGACTACAGCTTGGTGGAGATTGTTGTATTTACTGCTTGGCACAGTTAGTTTGAAGTACTTGGTTTCTCACTTGTAAAAAATGGTACCGTGCAGGTCTTCATGAAAACTGATTTAGCTGTTGGCTGCTCAGCTGTCAGGAGCCTTTGTCAGCATATGACAGCTCCTGTTATATAGGTTGCAATATGATGTGTAGAGGTGCTTATATTTCTTTTTTATGGAAATTATAAAAACACATACTGTTTTAATAAAAGTCAATTCTTCTCCACTTGTAAGTTTTTTTGTATTTGTGGGTATGTGTGTTACTTTTTTCCTTCTCACTTGATTTTGTAGCTGCAAAATCCTACATCGAATCCTATAAATGAATCTCAGAGTCTCTAAAGTTAACGTGACCTTACTTGTGCTCAGGTTATTCCTCTTACTTACAGCAGTCCCCTGTCTGCAAATAGGAGAACTTCAAATCTAGAGGACTCTAAGTAACCCCACTACTATTAATATTGACTAATGACATCTGATTCCCAGTATGAAAACTCTAAAGGTCAAACACCAAAAATGTTTGCACTATCCTCTCTATCATCTCCCCTGAGATTGTCACTGTTGCTCAAGTAAATGGACTACAAGGAAAAGATGAAAACTTGTGGAGGACAAAGAGCGCATGATGTGTCAGCCTCAGATAACAAACTCACTGCTGTGAACAAAAACAAGAACCAATTCTCCAGCATCGGTGGGATAGTGCCAAGAAATTAGAATGCAAGTGGTGACATCCAGCATGAAAGAAATCATTTTTGAGATACGAGGTAGTGGAACATGATTAAATTAGATGGTTAAAGTTTACACCAGGGATGTCAAACATAAGACCTGGGTTCCAGAACTTGTCCGCCAAAAACTGGCCCACTGGACTGCTTTGGAAAATGTGAAGGAAGGGATCAATTTTAGACTTTTAACTGTTTTACAGCTTTTCTAATGGATAAAGACTTTCCCATTGCCATTCATACTACACGAAAGTAAGAAACAGAACAATTAAATAACAGTAAGTTCCTGTTTTTCATTATCGGCTCTCAAAAGTTCACAAAAAAGGAACTTATTCTCCTTTATCGACCAAGATTTATACAGGCCTAATGACTTATTTTTGAAGTTTGGCTTTAAAATAAAAAAAAAAGTAATTCTCATCTTTCGGTAACCATTTGAATAGGTGCAGTACCTTATGCCACCGTAATAAACCAAATCTCCTTGTAAAGCTCGTCTTCTCCCCTTTCTGTAACTGTTTAAACTTTGTCTCTAGCATAAACATTAACGTGGTAAATAAAGGGTTAACAATTTTTTTTTATCATAATTACAAGAAAGTGTGTGCAATGAGCTTAAGGAACTTTTTTTGTAATTATGCATTTAAAAGTTTCGTGCTAACAGATTTTTATCATTTCGTACAGCAGCATTTCTTTGTCATATAGACAAAATTGAGAGGTTAAGAGGCTGCAATCAGACTCCTTTTTCTTATATTAAAATATATGAGGGATTCAAAGTGTAGTTAAACTTCTTTACACTGACAGAATGGGTAGTTTCTCTTAAGGTCAAAGTCGACTATACCATGTAAAATGTGGCATCCATGGTCTTCAGATTTCCATTTAGTATTTTGTTTTCTTTTCACGCAATATATAAAAATTTTTTATTTAAATGTAATTCAGAGTATTTTGTGGTTTGCGATGTCTTATAAAACTGTAAATAATGACTACAAGGCAATAAAAAATATTACTACTATTAGTGGTAAAACTGTTTCTAAACTACAAATTCAGTTGTGAAAAGACTGATAAATTGCTTGTGCCCAAAATGTATTTATACTGTTAATATATGAGTTAGTGTCTTTCTATATGTTACAATCCATCTTCAACAAACAGTAACACATGTGTAGAAGAAAAGAGCAGAAAATAGTTCGACAAATTTCTAAAGTAACAAGAAGACAGAAACGGACTTCGATATTAGGTAAAACCTTTTCAAGGGTTCATTGTTTTTTCATAACATGCAACACAGAATAGCCAATTCAAAAATGTAAGTAAACCAGCTTGAGATGATTTGAGTTTTTAGGCATGTGTGTTATCCTACTGGAAGATGGGTACACTATAGTCATGAAGGGATGAACATGGTCAGCAACAATACTCAGGTAGGCTGTGGTATTTAGACGATGCTCAGTTGGTACTAGGTGGCCCAAAGTCTGCCAAGAAAATATCTCCCAGACCATTACACCAGCAGCAGCTTGAACTGTTGACACAAGGCAGATTGGATCCATGCTTTCATGTTTACCCCAAATTTTGATCTTAATATCGTAGCAAAAATCAAGAATCAACAATGAAAGTTTCCAATTTTGGTGAACCTGTGTGAACTGGAACCTGTGTGCTTATTGTACGGTGTGGTCTTTTGCTGCTGAGGCCCATCTGCTTCAAGCTTCAATGTGCTGTGAGTTCAGAGATCAGAGCCATCAGATCAGCAGTTTCTGAAATAGCCTGTCTACCATCCACAACCATGCCCCAATTGAAGTCACCTTCTTTCCTCATTCTAATGCTCAGTTTGTACTTCAGCAGGTTGTCTTGATCATGTCTACGTGCCCAAATGCACTCCTATGTGACTGGCTGATTAGATTTTTGTACTCGCAGTTAGAGATTTAAACTGAGATACAGTTGAAAAGGAAGTAGAAGAGGTCTGTATGTTTTTTTAAAAATATAACACTAAACAATTTCATACAATTGATTTGATTAATCTATATTTATTACACTTTATTTCAACTCTATACTGTATTAGCAGTAACAGGACTGTTACAACTTTAACTTTAATATCCATAATTTAGACGTCTTGAAGTGTTGCTTCATAGCTTTAAGTCATTCTAGTTACAATACACAACTGGCTTTAAGGAAGTGGAGCCAGATTGTATTAACTAGAATCTGTTCATAGACCATCGGTGAGGATGTGATTCTTTGTGCTCAGCACTTTCCACCGAAGAGAGATCATTAAAATTCCCACCACTAAAAGTAGGATGTGTTACTTCCTTTTTAACTTTGTGCTCATTAGTGATGTGGCTTTCCCCAGCCTATCCCAGCTGTCATGGGGTTAACACTCAGAGACAGACAGCTATTCATGCTGGCATTTACAACTATGACCAATTTTGAACAATCAATTAAAAAAACACGCATGCTAGGTTAATTGGAAGGAAGATGGAGAGAACCCATGGAGGCATAGAGAGAAAATGCAAACTCCAATGTCCCTACTGTCCCCTTTAAAATAAACCTTTAGTTATACCATTTAGTTGCAGACAGGCATATTGATTAGACTGACCTGGAACTCCTGCCTGCATCCATGGTGAGATGTCTGTCCCTTCACCGTGGGCCTCGAGTTTGGTTGTATTAATGGGAGCCAAAAGTTTGACCACTTCTTCCATCACCTGTCGAGATGGAAAAAGACACAGGAAATTATCTTTATATAACTATTATGACAATATTATGATTGTAATTTCTAGATTTGAGCACTACTGGAACATTCAGTGACAACGTACAGATGCTTTGGTTCCACATTAACATGATAGATGCTGTGGTTCCTACTACCGGTACTTCCTTTTTACATGTAAATATATGGAACCTTTACAGACTTTAATGAAAAAACAAGTACATTTACTGGACAAGATGCTATTTTCATGTCAGTTTGCAAAATCTGTGTGCGGCAGAATTCACAATCTAATACCACTATTTTTTTTAAATAGTTGGGTTTTAATATCACCTTTTGTGCTGCATCACTGCCTGTAAATTGCAGGCCAATGGGGGTGAACGTCCCCAAGTCGGACTCCATGACAAGGTCAAAGTTGGACATGTTTACCTGTGTGCAGAGAGGACGCAAAAAGGGGGAACATGTCATGATCAGAGATAAAAGGTGAAAGAAAGCAAACCGAACCAAAGTACTCGCAAACAAAGCATACACACTCAGCCAGCCACTATAAGTACCTTGAGCAGCTGCCTTAACTAATTTAGGCAATTTAAAACGTAATTATACATCAAATGTAAGAACTGGACCAGTCCCACGGGCAGTTATGGTACACTGGTGTTTCTGGTTTTTAAAACGCAGTATATTACAGGTCAGGGTCTGGTGTGCAGCAAGAACTCCAAAGAAGGAAATTGTAAGACTCCAGATTCTTATTTAGATCCTTTGCACAGGAAAAACATGGGAGCTAGCCAAGTCCCTTCAGTGTGGTGGAAGTGCCTTTTTAAACTGCCTTTTCACAGTTGTGACCCTTCCTGCTTTTTGGGCAGCTGGAATAACATTGGCTCAGTGCTTGTTTTCTACTGATTGGCACGGTAACAGCAGACAGTACCTTGTGTAGATTAAAGTATTGCTGTGCTCCGACTCCGCCCTGCTCCTCGGCTGTCCACAGCACTGTTCGCAAAGTTCTCCTTGGACGCAGACCTACAAAGAGATGAAGACACATACACAGTATAGAAAGAGGAGGATAACGGCTCCAAATATTAATAATGACATTTTTCTTTTCTTTTTTTTTTTGTTGAATAAAAGGTCTTTGTAGTCTTTGTTTGATGACCCAGTCCTTGTCCAAGGCTCATTCAAGTAAATTGTCCACAAAAATACTGTACTTTATATGCAGGTCTGCCTCCTGTTGTAGTTGTGTGTATTTTGTTCCTCTGCAAACACTGGGGTGAAATTACTGTTTACAGTCAGAGGATTTGTTTTTCATTTTGTCCCTGTGTTTAGAACTGGAAACTTTAGCTCCACTTAATGATCTTAATAACTGCTGGTTATTCTGCTTTCTGTGTCGGCACATACTGATTGTTTCCTCTCTTTTTAATGAACACATTCACTTATTCTAATAGAATTATTAAATTTCATAGTAATTTTGTGACTCAAATAAATAAAAATAAACAGAGGATGCTCTGCTAATCCAGCGTAAAATTTTTTAGATTAATAACATGAATAGGTACGTTTGCCATCTCCTTTTTCTGATTAACATTTAAGCAAAACTAATAAACTTGAGCTTTTATTGCATTCTACAATATGCACATGTTATCATTGCTGAAGTTTATCTGTGATTTACTTTAAGTATTTCTCTGTATATTACCAAGGTCTTTGATGAGTGACAGGGCCTCCCAGGAAATCATGGCTCCGCCTCCGTCATCCATGGCACCCTGGCCCACATCCCAGCTGTCCAAATGTCCGCTCAGTAAGACAACCTAGAGAGATTGTACAGATAAAGAGAAAATGTGTAAACAAGAAACAGAGGAGCAAATCTGAGGAAACAGATAGGCAGACAGTGCTGCCCATATCCTGTTGACTTTTTATTAATGTCGACACAAATAGTTAAAAGTCCAGTTAATTTGATTCTTTTTTTAACAATAAAAAGGTTTGTATCAGCAGGAAAAGTGAGATTCGTTTAAAAAAAAAAAAAAAACAAAGAAAAAGATGAGAGCACACGGGTCAGTGTATCTGTACTCACAGGAATTTCCAAGATTCCTGTCAGTGGGATGTAGATGAGCCGTTGTTCAAGGTTGCAAAACATTTTCTGACCTGATCTAGCCCTGTCCGTGCAATGACCCAGAGTCTGCACATTCCCGTAAAAACCAATGTGTTTTTTTTTCACAGTGTTTGCTTTCTTATGTAACTGAAATGGTAATATATGCCAATGTGTTGGTTAGTCGCCCATTTGATTCCAGACTGAGATGTCTAAACTATAACATTGGAATGTGATTATTTCCAGATACAGATGTTTCTCACAGAATGCTTTGCAGTAATAAATTTTTTTTCTCCGAAGTAAGTTTAAACTGGGGAGTCTAAATTATAGTATCTACTTAGCAAAGGAAAAGTGTAAGGAGTTTACCTTTATTAATACTGGTAACATCACTATTTGTGAATGATGCATAAATAGTGAGACGTTCCACCCTCTTTTAATTCATACGTTTTCATGTAGAAAAGATTCAGACTAGATGAAACAGCAGTGTGTGAAAAATTAAGTTCACCTTTACTGCTTCCAAGAGTTTAAGTAGCAGCCAGCTGCTGCTAATCAAATGCACTTGATTAATTTCTCATCAGCAAGTGTGAGCACAGGTATAAAACAATGTTACAAAGTAAAGATATCAGCAATGTCTGAGAGAAGAAACCACTGCTGTCTATCAATCTGGGAAGGGCTATGAGGCCATTTCCCAGAAACAGTGTACAGTGAGAAATACTATGCATATTTATCCCAGCAAATTCATCCCAAGGTCAGACCATGCAGTGCTCAAAATAAGAAGAAGATTAAACAAGTATGACTAGTTTTTGGAAGAGGTTCCAGGAGGGGTTAAATTCCTCCATATGTGAAAGACTGATAAAGTCATACATGAAATATTTAATTCAATTCAATTCAATTTTATTTATACAGCGCCAATCCACAACAACAGTCACCTCGAGGCACTTTATATTGCTAGGTAACAATAACACACAGAGAAAAACCCAACAATAAAAATGACCTCTTGTGAGCAGGCACTTTGGCAACAGTGGGAAGGAAAAACTCCCTTTTAACAGGAAGTAAGCAGGCAAGTAAGCAGAACCAGGCTCAGGGCCGGCCATCTGCAGCAACCAGTTGGGGAGAGAAGGAAGACAGGATAAAAGACATGCTGTGGAAGAGAGCCAGAGATTAATAGCAGTGCAATCAATGCAGAGAGGTCTATTCACACATAGTGAGTGAGAAAGGTGATTGAAGAAGTAGTACTGGGAATCCCCCAGCTGCCTACACCTATTGCAGCATAACTAAGGGAGCATTCAGGGTCACCTGATCCAGCCAACTATATGCTATATGCTTTAGCAAAAAGGAAAGTTTTAAGCCTGATCTTAAAAGTAGACATAGTGTCTTTTTCCCGAATCCAAATTGTAAGCTGGTTCCACAGAAGAGGGGCCTGAAAGCTCAAGGCTCTGCCTCCCATTCTACGTTTAAATACTCTAGGAACAACAAGTCCAGAGTCCCCCAGTCCAAGAGAGAAGAGCTCTAATGGGGTGATATGGTGATACTATAAGGTCATTGGGACTGGTTATTCAAGACAAGGATTTTGAATTCAATTCTGGATTTAACAGGAGGCCAGATATATTTACTGTTTCACACAAACTCCTCATTTATGGGAGCACTGTCATCCTAGAAGGGGATCACTCCCATCAAGTGACTCACTACAACAGTGATGCTCCCATCCAAGGAGGCAAGTGGGCCCATTCCATTACAGCATAATATTCCCACGCTGTAGTTCTCAAGTATTTGCAAATACATTACATTAGTAAAGAGGCCAGTCCAGCAGCGAGCCTGGTTTCACATTAACAGAATCATATACAGCCAGTTCATCCCAGGTTACAAACTGCATGAGGGATTTTGCAGTCAAGTCGTCTCTGCATTTAAACCATTCTTATAAACACACAGATTTGGGTCACCAATAGCACTGAAACATCAGGACATTTGTATATAAAATGAAACCTCAAAATGTGGATTTATTTTTCTATTGTACTGTAATTTTTACATTGGTTACACTCAGAAAAATAATCCTGCTCCTGTTAACTTGATATTATATTTATATACACTCAGCCACTTGGTTAGTTTTGCTATGACTCTGTTTAAAGCCTGATTGTACATTGTGGCCATAGCAGAGACCGCATAATGTGCTTTGGTTAAAAGTGTAAATTATAAGAGACCACAAATGTATTTTTTTTAATGATTCATTGTGGTGTATGTAATATCCAAGCATGTTTTCCCCAACAAAGAGAGGCTAACATTTACAGTCAGTTCAGAAATCATTCATACCACATTTAATATTTGAAAGCTTAAAACTTTTTTAAAACTTCAAACTAAAAAGAAGGAAGAAGAAAGATGTAGAAGTTGGAGTGGGTGGAAAAATTCTGTGACAAACTTAACTGTGGAAATGACTCATTCAGCCCCAAATGTACATCTTCTAATGAACACACACACACAAACGCACATACACAATACGTCAGCCACGATAACTGCTACTGCAAGAGCACAAAGTCACAGGGCCAGAGATGATGTCAGCCATGTCATGTGTTTCATTTCCCTTTCTATAATAAAGCTCCAAATGCTGGTTCCTATATCAGAATAGTAAAAGCTTACATCAGCGCTCTGGTTCAAGAGTCCTGACGGATTTTATCTTGGACTTTGCATTTAAGATGTGAACTTTTCAAACTGTTAAAGGGGGGGGAGGCTTGCATTTGTGAGGGAGTCAAAGTTTACACAGATATAGTTCATATATCCCACATTAGTGGGAAATTTTCAAGAACAAACATTGTATACCATCATATACCTTCATCTGCCAATAAAGCAAATACCACATTTAATATGGCACACACACTTCCTTAACAACAACAGTAACATCCGTATACCAGGCAACCTCTACAAATATACAGTATACACCAGGGTTATCAGATGCCACTATGGAAATTTCACACAGAGCGTGATAAACTGAGATGCAAAATTCAGTGTAGTCAAATTGAACAAGACACCCCCCCATTTCCCTGCATGTTTGTTCCACACACCTTTCATCACTTGTCTTTGCAAATAACTGCTACTATAATTTACATACCCGCTCAGCTATTTAGGACATGTTGGTTTAACCCATCATGAGCTGCCTTGTGTGAATGTACAAACTCCAAACAGTTACTTCCAGTACGCCAAGATAAATCTGTCCCTTTCGTTTTAACTGCAAACTGTTATGTTCTCTGACCTTTTGGCCTCTTGGTGAAAGAGAGCTGCTCTCTCCCTATCCAGTTCCAGGTCTCCCACACAGCATTTTGCTCATTTAAGTAACTGCCTATACGGCTCCAGCAGCCAGCGCTCCTCACTGTTTGGCCACTGGGCTCTAAGATGTGTGGTTGCTGGAGCTGTGCTGTTCAGTGTAACCTAAAGTGATCTTTGGAGTTGAACTGTGGCAAGCCTGTGGGACCTGTCATGCTCTGTTGCTCTGTGTTTAAGGAAACCAATCTGTATGTTAGTGGAAGTTTGGTAAGGGTTTGCTGTCATTTTATGTACACAACTGTTCTCCTGTTTTGTGGCCAGCCAGAGCACTTGGGCATTGTATTTTTGTTTCAACACATAGCTCAGTGTTTCTTCTCATTCTAGTAAGAATGGGGGATTTTACTTGCTTTGGCCCTAGAACCCCTGGTGTCTATTTGCTTTCCTTTTTCTACTTAATTTAATATTGTAAGATAGTTGTAAATAAATTCTTTGTTTCCTATTCAGTAATCTTTCTTGGAGATGTATGGTTATGTTACAACTCAGCTTCTAGGTGAGGCGTTGTAACACAAACTCAAATATATTTACATACATCATGTACATGGCGCTGAGCATGCCTCTAAGCCCATTTAGCACTAAAGCCCAGAAACCTTGGGTAGTATTTCCAGGGGACTCTAAAAATATCTCCTCTAAAAACTGTATTTGCATACACTGAGGTTTCTGCAGGAGCACATAATCTATTCATCAGGTTCTACCTGTTAGATGTGTCATAAATACAAAGCACCTGCAGTGAACTGAAAAGGTATACTCTGCAGTTCAGTAGGTAGTAATTTAGTCCGCTCATAGGCTTAGAGTTAAAGCAGGCCATAGTTTGTCATCTCGTTCTGTTCTTGACAGTCTGATATTGAAAAGGTTTGCTACTTAAAACTGTGAGTTTGCGTTCCCTTTGTGAAGTAACAACCTTACATATAATCCATACTGGAATAATATGATATTTATATCGCAACCGATATGCTTCATGTAAACTGAGTAGTTGCAGTTTGCAGTTTTATGCTTTATATTACCTTAAAAAATACTGTGAGTAGTAAAAAGCTTGGTTACATTTAGCTGAGTTGAACTGATCAACTATAAATTTTATTTTTTTATGGTCAAAATGTTATAATTGGCTTACGAGGCAAATGAGAAGAGAAAAGAAAATAATCACTTATACTTACCAGAATATCTCTGGTAAGAATACCTCAAGGTGCTTTGTATTGTAAGATAAAGACCCCACAATATTACAAAAACAACCCCCTATGAGCAAGCACTTGTTACAGTGGGAAGGAAAAACTCCCTTTTAACAGGAAGAAACCTTTGGCACAACCAGTGGTGGATATCTGCTGTGACGGGTTGGGGGTGGTTACTGTATTGTTTAAATAATGCAGTGTTCTCATGAAAGCCTATTTTATACTGGTTCCTGGAAAGATTAAATCACATAAGCAAACACAAAATACAGGCAGAGTTAAGGGCTGTCGGAATATCTTCAGTCAGCAAAAACAGCCCACACTATTATTTCCTTCTCCACCGAGCTAAGATAAAAGTGGAAATAACTAAGAAGGAGATTTAAAAATGGATTATTGGGACATCTGATTTCCTTGTGGTTTATGTGTAACATCCGACAAAATGGATTTACTGTAATATCAAAGTGGAAACTAGACAAATAATAGATGAGATAAATTTGTCAAACATGCATATCTATGTTATGAGTGAGTGAAAGCTACCTGCTCAGGGTGTTGCCAGCCTTTTATCTCAGCCACCGTGTTGAAAGAGTCAGCATCAGGAAGGGTCTTGGCTCCCATGGTGAGTTTAACCACAATTTTCTGACCTCTTTGTGCCATACGCCACATCAGCTCAGTATCCTCCACAGTGATGCAGGCTGTGGGGATGCGCTTCACTCCATCTTGGTAGTCCTGCCAGCCTGTGTGGGGACTACACAGGTAGTGATAAAGACAGAGATGTATGTAATATACCAGTGATAAAGTGACACTACAACATTTCTAGACAGTCAGATAGCTGGACACTTGGAGAAGATAGATATACCTGTTAATAGAGAATGGAGTGACTGATCGAATGAGTGTAGCCACAGCTCCTACTTTGGCTGCCTCAGAGGCACCATAAGCACGGTATGCCACTGTCTCTCCATAGCTAACATATGGCTGGTTAAAAACCACAATCCTTCCTGCGGCCTCACTGGCTCGACGCTTCAGTTCCTCAAAAGACTGAACTACCAACACCTCTGCCTCAATACCTACAGGAATAACAATCAATCAGTGAGCAGTAAAGGAGAAACAGATGAAATGAAAGCTGTTTTATACGACTATGGTCTTTACCTTCAGGGGGTGTTCCTACGCTGCTACCCAATCCCAGTATAGCCAGAGTCTTGGCTCGAGGAGCAGTCATCTCTGCACTCTCCTTCCCCCGTACCCAGTGTGGGATTTTTACTGGCTCTAGATAAGACAATTAAACTATGTTTATATTCACCAGAAATCAGCTAGAGTTCCCGTACGTTCTGAAACACATGTTGGATAAAAACTGTAAAACTTACCCAGGTGTACATCCAACCCATCCTGCACCATGGCATTGTACATGTATTTAATAGCCATCTCCAAGTTGTTTGAGCCACTGACGCGGTTTCCTATAGTGTCAGTAAAGTCTGCGAGCCGTCTGTAAGAGCGGTTCTGGGCAGCACCGAACACAGCCAGGTCAATGATCTGTTTGGCCACATCAGCATAGCCTGCTACCTCAGCTGCAACCCCAGCTGGGATCATGCAGAGACACACAACAAGAACATATCAAAACACTGTAAAGGCTTGCAAAGACTGTTCCCGTTCTACCAGTTAGTTCAGGTACACTGTTGTCATTGTAACTCAGTACATAAATCCCAACATTAAACTGATCAAAGGATCCAAAGTAACTGGAAAAAAATGCATGGGTACAGAAGGCATTTATTAGCATTAATTATAAACTGGTTATTTTAATAAAGGCCTTACTCTCTCAGAGTTTGGGTTACCTCTCTTTGCAGTATCATTGGATAAGACTCTGACAGCAGATCCTGAATTTATAGTTTGTGCAGAGTGGGGATGACCATCACAGAAAGAGGATAGGTTGAGAAAAACATTGAGGGAGAGGAGGATACATAGTGTCCCCTTCCAAGTCATCTGTGAAAAGAAAATATCAGTGTGTTGTTGTCAATTGATGTTAAATTGCTACTAAATCCTCCTTAAACCGCACACACACTGCAAGTATCCTCTCATCTTAGTACGAACTAAAAAGCAAACATGCATCACCCCTGCTAACACAGTTAATCTAGCAGATATGATTCAAACAGGCAATTCACAAAGACACTTACTTTGCACTACAGCAGGTATTTTCTATTTTTGATATGCGAGTGTGTATATGTAAATGTATAGGCATGTGTTTGCATATGTATATGCAGTTGTGGTATAAAAAGCAGGCATAAATTAATCGTAGTTTTGGGCTTTTAATTATTTTTTTCAACTGTGCTTTTTTCATAGTGCAATGATTGCACAAGAATTTGGTTGAATTTATTTTGGATTTTCTCTAATCCACACAGGGTCAAAAACAAATATACAGGCTCTACAGTGTACTTTAACTTGACCGGGCCAAGGCCTATTAACTTCTCATTAATTATCATGATTGACTTCAAATTTTGCTTTCTCTTTGCAACAATAGAACCACTGAACTACCAGCATGACTGTGAAGTAAGGTTTTACATTGCCATGGACCGAGAGGGTACCAACTAAGAAAAATGCTCCAAAATCAACATCTTCAAGCTCAACTTAGATTTGCAGTTGCCCACATGGACAAGCCAAATTCCTTCTGGAGAAAAGTTTTATGGTCAGACGAGACAAAGATTGAGCTGTTTGGCAACAATGACCTAAGAACACTTTACTAGCTGTGGAGCACAGTGGTTGTAGCGTCATACTCTGGGCTGTTTGCTGCCAGTGATACTGGTTAACTGCGCAAATTAGATACAATAATGGAGGACTACCTCCAAATTCTTTAACTTCACCTCAAATCAACAGCTAGACAAGTGAAACTTTTGAAACAATTGCATGTTTCAACAGGACAATGATCCCAAACACATATCAAAACTGGTTTTGAAATGAATAAATTATGCTAACATTAAGCTTCTGGAATGGCCTCTCAAATCCTCTGAAAATGTTTAGACTATTCTTAAAAGCCAAGTACAATACAATACAAGGAAACCAACCAATTTAAATTAAATCTACAAATTCTGTCAACAAGAATTTCCAAATAACCAAGCCAGAAGATTGTTTGTGATTACCAAAACGACTACCATCCGGTCAAGGTGTGACTTGCTAAGGGACATTTAACTAAACCTGTATGTATACTTTTTAGCCCATGTGGATTAGAGAAAATCAAAAATAATTTAATACTTGTGCACCCATTTCTTGTTTTTTTAACCAATTACCATGACATTCATCCCAAGATGATGTATATGTGTAAATACCTCTTTTTGGTATGTTACTGGGTTTATAAAACCAAATATATGCGGCAAATTTTAAACAAGGAATTATGATAGGAAAGGACATAAACAGGAAGTAAAGCGATAATTACAAAACAGTGGAGAAAGGGTGGTATTAAATAAGTTTATGCTTATTCCTACTCCTTTTTTTCAATATGTTAAGCCATGTATTTTTGTATGCTTTTTGCATATATTTTTTAGATATTCGAAATTAAGCCTTAAGCAAGAAAAGCTATTATTTTACAGTACTACACTATACGTGAATGGCGTTTTATTGGAAACGTTACGCTATCCCCAGTTATAGTTTTACTTTCACTTTAGGACATTACAATTATACTTTATTTCTTAGTAAATGTAGCTGGACACCACAATTGTTAAATTATCATATTAACACAGACGGCTTCATTCTCATTTTAAAAAACAAACACGATATATAAAAAAACTGCAACACAGACGAATAGAGAAGGACAGAAACGTTACAGCGGTTTAAACATTTCACAGTAACAATGAGCGCAAAAAGCGCTTCTCCATAACAGCACAAACCCTTCGAGTCAATTCAAAGTCTTTGGTTTTGTTGACGTTGCAGGACTTCGTCCAATTTTAAGGATATGCCAAATACACAAATACCGCAACGTAAACAGTTCCGTACTCGTGATTACAACCTGCATAGCGCACTTCCGGTTTGTCTTATTTCAAAATAAGAGCGTCATGCTTACCATAACAATAGTTTTGTTATACAGGTATTAAAATATGGTTACACACACACAAACACACACAAACACACAAACAATAAACCACACCCAGCCCCCCACTCTCCCGTTTTCCCCTCACAAAACTAAAATAATTCAAAGAAACCGATTAGTATGCAACAACTGGAAATTAATAGTTACAATAGTTCATACAAAACGATTTTTGTTAAAATTACCCCTCATAAGTAGTATAGTCTATTCACATTATGGACATTGTTACTATTATACTCACCAAGCTTTCAAATATGTAAAATATGTCGGACATACAAAGATTAAGGAACTCATCACAGACTCTCATGGCCAGCTCTTCCACATAGAACACTTATAATCAGTGTTTCGGTTCACAATTGACCTGCTGTTCAGCTGTGCATAAATGATACCTTTCATGAGTAACTAACACACAACAATAAATATTATGTTCCAGCATAAATCAGTGTTTAAGTACCCAAACCTGCAATTGCACATTATTCCAAAACTGACATTTCAAAAAAGATGCTCTATTTGTCTGTGAAGCTTTTGAGAAAGCTTTGTCTACCTTTCTTTAACATGTGTTACAGGCTGTTTTGGGTTCACATCTGACCTGCTGTTCAACAATTTGAAGAAGAAATTGAAAGTTTACACACAGAAAAATACCACTACTGAATGAAACAACACAGCTGTATAGAAGAAGTGTATCAATCTCACTTTTGGTATTAAGTCAAGAAAAAGGAACTGCCTATTTAGAAACTATTTAAAACCAAATGCTAAATCACGCACTTCTTTTTATGAGTCTTCTCTTAGTCATCCTTCCTTTTTGCAAACAATGTTATGGTTAAAATGATGCCCAGTGCTAACAGTGTATTGTGTGCACACTGTGGGAAACACAGCACATCTCAATCTGTGGTTTTTATTTCTCATCTTCCCCTCCCACTGATCTTCTGCATTCCTCACCAGTCATAGATATTCACATCAAGTGCCCCACCCATGTCAGATTCATATTAATTTATTTTATCACACTTTACTACCACTTTTATGCTATTAACTTATGTGCATGGCTCTACTTTCTATTCCTGCTTCTTTTCTACTACAGCCATCTTCTGTATACATAAAAAAACCCCAACCTTTTGTGCATCCACATGTTCTCCTTTTGTTTCTGAAGATCTTTAAAAACATCTGACCATATGACTCATTTCACATGCTGCTGACCAGGTTTGATATTGCAAACCTTTTTCTCACTTTTGCCTGCCTTTGTAAAAGAATGTTTGTTGAGACTTGATGGAAATGCTTTACTCTACATTTCAGATCAGCTGAACAAAAGCAACAAATAATAGCTTTTACCTGCAGCTGAATGTTCACTTTTTGGTTTTGTCTCACACAATAAAAACAAAATGCAAATCTGTGAGAACACGTGGGCTTCAAAATGATGCCCAGAAGGTGCTTAATTAACAAATAAACACAAAGATCGTGACCTTGAAGAAGTTAGATGAAAAGGTGAATAAACAGGCAGATTTTAAGAGCACACATAATGTTAAACCTGTTGTGTTGATGTGTGTATATGGGGGGGTGGGGGGTGGGGGGGGGCAGTATTGTTGAGAGACAGAGAAAAAACAGCCACTGCATTAAAGCCACAACTTTTATTCATTAGTGAACCTCATGAGATACACCAGCAACAAGGTTCTCTATTGTTCATCTTGGTAAGTTGATAATTGGCTGGTCCTCATACTTGTGTAGTTTATTTCTAAGAACCAGGATTTCAGTCAGCTTCGATAAAAAACAAAACTGCAACATGTCTCCAATAAACTTTCTGTACTTTTATAATTTTTAGAAGCATTCATAAAGAAAAAGGACTTTTTAAAAAAAAAAGATGCTAGAAAATCTTTTAAAGAAATTGACAATAATCTAAAGCTCATCAAATGCACCAAGATACAAATAGGAATATAAAACTCAAGCTGAAGGCACAAAGAGGCTTCAACCACCAGTAAATACTGTACAATCCCAATAATGACGGACATATTTACCTACATTGTAGTCTAATTAAGTATAAATTATTACATGAAAATCATCTCGTTTATATATAATGCATGTAGATGATAGAAGAGAAAAGTTATTTTGTCTTTGCCAACAAGTGCTAACCTGTGGTATTAACCCTCTGGGTTTGTTTTTGTTTCACACAGAAGTTGTTCAACCACACTGGCATAGTAGATTTTAACTCCAAACTTGCAGTTCTGTACAGCTCACAGTTCAAAGTATGAAACTAATACTTCAACCGCACTGCAAAGCAAAGGATATAATGTAACATGAGGCACTGAAGACTCAACAAATGTCACGTTATCAACAAAGAGTCACCGAGGTGGGTTAATGACTACATCTTCCTGTTTATTCTATGCACAGTGAATAGGTAGCTTGCAAATGCATTCAAATGTACTACTTGCTTTAAAATATTCATTTTTATTATGACAAACAGTAAGCAGTGTTCTTTGAACCATTACAGGCAGTAGGTAGCTGGTTAAAAAGCCATAAAAAGGCAAATTCCTAATAGGTTTATGAAAAGGGTCTACACACTTATGTGCTGTCGAAAGGGAATAGAACCCTGTTGTCGTTATCTGCTTTGTGTATCTTCATTGGAGCCATAAAACATGCTATGCTGCTCTTGTTGCTTGAGGTAAAGTCTGAAAATCAGGAAATACATGTGTCAAACAAAGCACGTTTACGCTTAAAAGAAACAGATTAGTTAAACAGACACAATTAACAACTCTCTAACCCTGCTAAGTTGATAAACTCTAAAGTGTAAAAGAGCAGTAAATGCTCTCACTGGCCTTTAAACCTTGAACCAACTATTATAGCTGTATACAGAGGACAGCGAGAAAGGAATGCGCTTTGGCTGTTGTCAGAAAACCTTGATCGCTTCTATGGTTTCTGAATTATAGTCATTAGCTTTGACTCCACCTGTCCACACGCTTGCAGCACTCAGTCACCAAAACCCCCCCAAAAGTCCTGAACATATTACATGTGTTCTAAAGATGCCTGAGGGAGTTTTACTAAGGCTGCCACACTGTATGAAGTCAAAGACAAATTGCTTAAAAATGGCTTACAGAAATATAATCTCTAAACATAAAAAAAAAAACTACCACAATTTTTTTTTTTTTTTTACAAACAACAAAGCGTATCTATATTTGGTCAGTTCTGTAAGTGCCTGTGTGACAACAACAAATGTTTGTACCTGCAAAGTAACAAAATCTCTCAATGCAATACTGGGCAGCATATGAAAATGTTCATTCATGTAACCCCCCTCCCCCACCCCGCACAAAAACCAAAACAAATTAAAGAAAGCATACAGAAAGTAAAAAGAAACACAGACAGTTTTTAACACAGAAAAAACAAAACACAAAAACACAATCTGACCTCAGAGGACAGAAAAAAAAAGTGTCAACTTTTTAAGGTCCATCTTAATACTATTCTTATACAGAATATAGTACCAGGCTGAACTGGGCTGGTTCAGCGTACATCCATCCAAAGGAGCAATCAATTTCTGGGTCACACAGAATCAGCTCTTGTCCAGCGTAGTTCATCTTAGGTCTAAAGGCACAGCGTCGGACCGTTTCACACTGACGACTCGCCAACACTACAATGATCCACTTCAGGATTTCATTCTTAAAACTTTGAATGGGTATTTACTCCTTCCTTAGCATGGGATGACAGGAAAGCATTTTAACAGTTTGACTTTATTTTATTATGACCCCTTTGTCACAAACACTGAACATTAAGTAGAAAGATAAAGTGGCAGCGGATGAAGTTGGGAATGGCGAAGGAAAAAAAAAAAGACAGAACAAAGAAGCAGCACTGGAGAGGAGCAGAGGTGTCTACTTCAAACTTCATCAAGAAGAATCATCTTCAGCTGGTTATAGATCCATTTGAGTCTTAATAGGCAGGAGCCAAAATCCACCCTGCTTTGTTCTTATTAGTCAGTTCAGGCGTAGAACTCCTTGGTGGGTGCTTTGTGATATGCAGTTGCAGAAAGTTTGTTATCTCCCAGGTCGTAGCTACCTTCATCCTTCTTCTTCATGCGGTAGGCAAGGAGAGACAAGAGGGAAACAGCACAGAGGAATCCAATGACTCCGCACACTATCACAGCTGGAGACGGAAAAAAGAAATACGAAATTATTTTTAAAAAATAACATTTTTATAACAGTTATCTATACTTAACATTTCAGATTCTTCAACAGAAGTCTAAATTTTCTTGAAAACTCACTACTGTAATTTTGTAATGAACTGGTAAGACAGTAGAAACCTAGTCCTTACCTGCTAGCACCTCTTTTCTCTCCAGCAGGTTCTCAGAGGATACCTCCATAGAGTTCTCACCAAATAATCCTTCTCGATCAGCTTTGGTAAGAGTTTCATCAGACTTTTTGATAGGCTCTTCATATTGGGGATTTAACACATCCAGGCGTCTCTCCTTGCCAGAATTGATTACACCATCAGCTCTAGTACTGCCACTGGGAGGCACATTGGTGGTGCTGGGACTAGCATCCTTTCCAAACCAGTCAGCTGTTGGGCCAACACCAAGCCCCTATAAGGATATTAGCACAGTTTAAAAAAAATGCTGAGACATTATGTGGCTTTAGATCCTTTCCATTTACCACTATTCACACCTTAAAGCGGTAGCAAATAAATCACAATTAGTTTCTCTGCTCCAAAATTAATCAACCTTAATATTTACTCTCACTATCACCAATTGAAATTAAAAGAATAAATATCCTTGTGTGTGCGATGAATCATCCTGAAGATGGACATAAGTCAGACTTCATGAGGACATGAATCAAAAGGAACAGTCATACTTTACCTTGTCTCCATCAGGGAAAATGTCAGCCTCCTTCGCTGTAGTTGCTGGATCATGGCTGCGTGCCACTGTGGTTGGTGGGTTGTCTGGA